TATCGGGGACTGGCCGGGGGGAGGGACGCGGGAAGTGACCAGCCAGGGGGCGGAGGGGCCACGAAAGGTTGGCCGGCTGGCCCCCCAGTTGGGGCCATGGGGGACGGAAAGGGGGGGCGCCAGCTGGCTGGGGGGAGGGACCACCGGAAGGTTGGCTGTGGGAGTGCACTGACCACCAGAGGGCAGCTCCTGTGTTGAGCTTCTGTCCCCTGGGTGGTCAGTGCATGTCATAGTGACTGATCAACTGGTCGTTCCAGTTGTTCTTAAGAGCTGCCCCCTGGTGGTCAGTGTGCTCCCACAGCGGGAGCACCACTCAGCTGACTGACTGGCACCAGACACAGGGCTCACAGCCCAGAGACTGCAGCGGAGCAGCAGCAAGCCTATCGAGTGGCGGCAGCAGGCGCAGTGGTGCTGGGATGAGCAGGAGCAGCAGGCAGGAACAGCAAGCAGTGCTGGACTGCCAGTTTCGGCCAAATCCCCGCAGGCTATGCTGAGGGACCCCACAGGTGCACAAATCCATGCACCGGGCCTCTAGTAATAATAACATTTGTGTATTTTATTTAGAATGGTATCATTTTAGGAGACATATGTACTACTATTTGTAATACTTTAAACAAGAAAATAAAATTTTAAAAATAAATAAATAAAATGGTATCATTTTAACAACCACAATTTATTGGCACTTATATAAAGCACCATTACACATTTTGACTTGAGATGGTAAACATACAATATAATATACAGATAGATGATGTACTGTAGAACTGCATACCTGAAATCCATATAATTTCATTAACCCATGTCATCCCAATAAATCAATGAAAAGAAAGCACTATTATGCAACAACCCTTTATGTGAAGGATGAATAAGAGAATTTCAAGGATAAATAACCACATACTAGAAAACAACATTTGAAGGAGAACAACTTTTACCTGTGTAGCATGTCTGGGGCCTGGTTCAGCAGTGTGTAATACTGTCTCACGAATTCCCGCCCGACCAGCAGGGGACTAGGCTTCTCCATAACCATTGCTTTGGTCAATTCAACCTGGAAAAAAACAGCAGTTAAATGTGTTCAACTGGAAAGATCAAGTACAAAGGGAAAAAGTAGCAGGGGAGAAGATAATCATTTAGCTAAAACCAACTCAAAAGTAAAGACAAGATCACTTCAGAAATTCTTGGTTTTAAAAAGAAATAATTATTATAAAAACAAAACACACAGACCAGGTGATATTTTATACACTGAAATTTATTGTAATCAGAGAAATACTGGGAGAAAAAAAATCACTATAAAGAATTAATTCATCATTATTCCCAATATTCGATTTTCTTAAACTGAATATAAGAAACTCAAAGGTACATATTTCCATCTACCATAATTTTCCAAATTAATTTAACCCAGAGTATTCGAGTTATAAATTACAAACATATTCTTATTTATACAACTATTTCATTTGAGGATGATAAAATCAAACAATAAATACAGCTTAAGACATATGGGCACATACTATCACATTTTTAATCAAACTAAGTCAGGGAAATATTTGGTATCTTTAAAAACAAAACCTGGAAGTTCTAAATATGCTCAATTTATTCTATAATGGGACCAAAAATAATCTGAAAATAATGTGGGTAAAAAGAGTTAACAAACAAAATGTTTTTACTCACAAAATAATCCCTATCACCTCAAAATTATCATGATGATTTAAAGTTAGTACCTTTGAGCGTTAAGAAAGGCACCTGACAGATACTAAGTCCTCAATTATTGTCAGTTATTATTTTAAAAGAACTTTAAGGATATGATTTTCTAATCACTCTGCTGTACATCTGAAACTAATACAAAATTATATTGAAAGTAAACTGTTATTGAAAAAAATTCAAACTTAAAAAAAAAGGAAAGAAAAACTGAAAGATATTTGGTGTGAGATAATCCCGAATTTTCACTTAAAAGATAAAATTATCTTGAATTTAAACGCAAAGGCATACATACAGATTAATTACAGTATCAATTAAGGAGACAAATTTTATTTCAGTTTTCTAAAGGATGGGCAAAATGCACTGAGTTTGGTTTGTCAATTCCTGCATAAGCAGTTTGTGGAGATATGTTTATCCTCATCCACTGCATTTCCTCATTTTTTTTCTTTTCCTTTTTTTTAAACTTAATTTTTATTGTTGACGTTATTACAGATGTCCCCATCCTCATTATTCTTAAATCTGTCCTACTTGTTTCACCAGAATCTAAGAAATTAGTTGAAGGCCTGTTCAGCATTTTCCCCAAATTACAGACACTATGAAATAGCTTCCCAGTCATACTGAAGAGTAGTTTGCCTGCAGGCATGGTTATGAGGATATCAGTAACAAGAATTTGGATCCCAAGTCTTAAACTAATAAACTTAAAGTAGACTAACCTGAGGCAGAATGCGAAATTGCTTATTTTTTCCCCTGGCTCTTGGTCCAGAAAAAGATAATTCCTGATGTTTTTACTGATCCTAGATTCTTCGGAACTTACAGATTACAGTTGAATATTAAAGGTTCTTAAATAGTCATCTAGCCTGTAGTTTCTGAGTTTTAAGATTTCCCATTACTTACTTAAACCAGAGCGACTACACTTTAATATTTAGAGTTCCCATATAAATTTTCCTTTCTTAAAAGGGCTTAGCTTCTCACCCTAGTTGGTTTGGCTCAGTGGATAGAGCATTAGCCTGTGAACCAAAGCGTCACGGGTTCAATTCCAGTCAAGGGCATGTATCTTGGTTGCAGGCTCCGCCCCGGCCCTGGTCAGGGCTCCTGCAGGAGGCAACCAATTGATGTTTCCCTCACATCGATGTTTCTGTCTTGCCCTCTCTTCCATTCTCTCTAAAAAAAAAAAAATCAAAATAAACGGAAAAATATACTCGGGTGAGGATTAACAAAAACAATAAATAAATGTTAAATGTTAAAAAGGGGGGGGGGGGGGCCTTAGCTTCTCTATTGAAAAATCACTAACATCTGACCCAATATCAGATTAAAAGAAAAATTCCCAGATCTCACAACTAATTTCAAAATGTTAAACGGGTCTTCCAATTCCTCAGAAACTGGTGAAGTTAATATCATTTTTATTCCATTAAGTTGTACTTACATATTTTCAAATATATTGAGGCTGAACAGAAAGTTTTGCTTCCCTGTCTCATCTAAAATAGACAATATATCCACAATATAAAAAGCAATTAAAAGGGAACCTTCATGACAGGACAGATAAACCAGAGAAAGAAAACAGTATAATTAAGTAAACACCGATCTTTTTTTTTAGTGCCCTTAACCTGAATTGAACCCAAGACCGTTTGGTGCACGGGCTGATGCTCCAACCACTGAGCCACACTGGCCTACTCCTATCTTTTTCCGCTAATTGCACTACCTTCTCTTCAGTACCATATGCTCTTATTCACTAAGCAATATTACAAATGTCAGCATTACTAGACTAGTAACATCAACCTAACTTCGTCCTTTGATACTGTCAAGAAGTCTCATTAAAATATAAATTTCTAAGTAACATTTTATCAAATACTATTTCTCACATCCAATCGTCCTATGCAAAAATCCTGAAAATCCTTTAGGTTGTATATCAAAGGTAAAAAAAAAAAAAAAAAATTAAAACTAGACCACCTCTAGAATTTCTCTTTTCTCTTTCTGTGAGATTACCTAGATCATTCAAATTAAAAGAATTTTAAAAGCTCATTATTGGTTTCACTGAACCATTATCATCAACATTTTATTTCAGGTCATCACCATAAAACCAAGTAAGTAAAGTCAAACATATTTATATGCTAAATTTATCTTCATCACATTTGTAAATTTTTCTTAACTGCTATAATTCTGAAACTTATCAAAGAAATACTTATAATTCAACAAGTTTCCAAACATCAATTTTATTAGTTTAATAGCTTAACATAATTGAATATTTTGGAAACTAGATTTATAATTACCATTTCTGAATTTTCCAAACAGATGGTACTTTATTTGGGGTTGAAATTTCCAACTTCAGAAACATGCAATATAGCTACATGGAAACCAAATTTTCAATATTCTGGTACTAAAGTTACAAGTTTTAATGTCCATCATCAGGGTTGCCCCAAGGCTTATTTTATGTACTAGAGGCCCAGTGCACAAATCGTCACGGGGGGGGGGGGGGGGCC